AGAGTGAGGATTATACTGTACACAGCTGGCCCTGCACTGCACAGAGCATGAGAGCAAGCCTTACACTTGGGGTGGGGAACCTGTTCCATGGAGGGCCAGTGTGGGTGCAAGTTTTTGGGATGACCTCTCAATCAGCCAATAATAAGTCAGTGGTTCAGTCCTCCACACCAAATTCGCTCATCTGTGTCCTTATGGACCTTGCTTTATGCACTGGTGTGCAGTCATGTTGGAACTTCCCACAAAGTTGAGAACATGAAATTGTGCAAATTGGCTTCAAATGCTGCAGCAATAAGAGTTCCTTTCACTGGAACTAAGGGGCCAAGCCCAAACTCTGAAAAACAACCCCACACCGTAATCTCCCCTCCACCAAATTTTACACTTGGCACAATGCAGTCAGGCAAGTACTGTTCACTTGGCAACCGCCAAACCCAGACTCTGTCGGATTGCCAGACAGAGAAGCGTGATTCGTCACTGCAGAGAACACTGCTCCACTGCATCTAGAGTCCAGTGGCGGCGGGTGTTACACCACTGCATCCAACGCTTTGCATTGCACCTGGTGATATAAGGCTTGAATGAAGCTGCTCGGCCATTGAAACCCATTTCATGAAGTTCTCTATGCACTGTTCTTGAGTTAATCTGAAGGCCACATGAAGTTTGGAGGTCTGTAGCTATTGACTCCACAGACAATTGGTGAATTCTGCACACTCACCTCAGCATGTGTTGTCCCCACTCTGTGATTTTACGTGGCCTACCACTTTGTGGCTGAGTTGCTGTTGTTCTCAATTGCTTCCATTTTGTTATAATACCACCAACAGTTGACTGTGGAATATTTAGTACAACAATATTTCACGAATGGACTTATTGCACAAGTGGCATCCTATCACGGTACCACACTTGAATTCACTGAGCTCCTGAGAGCAACCCATTCTTTCGCAAACGTTTGTAGAAGCAGTCTGCATGCCTAGGAGCTTGATTTTATATACCTGTGGCTGTGGAATTGATTTGAACACCTGAATTCAATGATTTGGAGGGGCGTCCCAATACTTTTGGTTGCTACTCCAATGAGACGTACTGAGCATACTAACCCCCGTCTTCTGTCTAGCTCCACTCCCCCCCGCTCACCCTGCCTGACCTTCCCGCTTCTGCAGCCCAAGCCCTTTCCTGTCCTCCCTCTCCTCTATCGTCCTGCTCATGACCTCCCAGTGTTTCATGTCTGCGTTATCGGACGGACCTCCCCGGCGCCTGGACTTTCGGACCCTGTTCCCCTGATGACTCTGCCTGTCCCTGCCACTGTGCTTGTCCACCTTGGTCTCGAAATAAAGCTCAGCCTCATAAAGGGAGGGTCCTAGACCTGACCTGGCTTGCACCTCCCTCACCACTCCATGTCACATCACCAACATACCAAAACACAGCGCAGACTGCCCGATGAGAGGGTCCTGGGCTTGACCTGGCTTGCACGTCCCTCACCACTCCATGTCACATCACCAACATACCGAAACACAGCGCAGGCTGCCCAATGAGAGGGTCCTGGGCTTGACCTGGCTTGCACCTCCCTCACCACTCCATGTCACATCACCAACATACCGAGACACAACGCAGACTGCCCGATGGGAGGGTCTTGGGCTTGACCTGGCTTGCACCTCCCTCACCACTCCATGTCACATCACCAACATACCGAGACACAACGCAGACTGCCCGATGGGAGGGTCTTGGGCTTGACCTGGCTTGCACCTCCCTCACCACTCCATGTCACATCACCAACATACCGAGACACAACGCAGACTGCCCGATGGGA